AGGCTCACTAAAGGGTGTGTCTGTGACAACCAGTCACACCTGTTAAGAGAATACATTACACCTAGCAACGGGGTCAACCACACCACCTCACTGAAGTTTCTGTCCCTTCCTTGCTCAGAGTTGCTCTGAGAACTTTCCTAAATCACTCCCCAGCTAGGACTCCTAACTAAAAGTTTTAGGCTTAGTTAGGAGCTCTCTTAGAGTTTTCTCAGAATGTTTGTGAATACGGCCTCAGATGTTAAAGAAGTTTTACTTGGAGCTGAATGATCTGCAGAGGTCTCCCTTTCTTCAAAATAAACAGACTACTGATTTAAACAGGTGAAAACGCTGAATAAAACAGTTTCACATAAGAATCAGATGGTGTTGGGCTCGTCGTAGAGGGGCTGCTGTGGCCAACATGACATCATGCTTAAAAGTTTCAATAATTCTGTAACATAATTTTAAAATGTAATAATATATTACTAAATATAATATTAAATATTGTGTTTCCCTATTAAAAAAAACAATTTTTTACATCTATAATTTTTGTATTTATTTATTTTTGCAATTTGTTGCAAAAAGTTGCTCATTGCCTTTTTCCCCCATATTTTTGAAAGAAAGTGCATCAATTTGCTCAGGGTTTAAAAGTTTAAATACTTGCAACAGGCGTCTGAAAGCAGCACAAATAACGCCCCCTGCAGGTGATAAATAGAATAGCAGACAGGATGAACACGTCATAGTGAAATTGAAAGTTATCACACCCTACAGTACATAATCACTCTGTAAAGATATCAATAGTTTGTTTGTACATTTTGTTTGGAAAAACAAACACCATCATCTCAAAAAAGACATCCTTAGTTTAGAGAGAGCAGAAGGTGGGTTGGAACTTCTGAATTTTTTTCGTTTAAATTCCACTTTTAAAATCAAATGGCTTAAGAAATGTTTGGAGCAACCGACATCACTGTGGTATTTTTTTCCACACAATTTATTTAAAATGGTAGGTGGCTTAAATTTTTTTACTAAGTTGCAATTTTACTGTCGCTAAATTACCAGTTAAATTTTCAAAGTTTTATCAGCAGGCCTTATTGGCATGGAAATTGTGTTATGTGCATAACTTATCTCCTCATAAGGAAATCATTTGGAACAATGGCAACATCACTGTCAAAAGCAAGACTTTATATAAGGAAAGCTGGATTGAAAGGTGTATAATTTTTGTTGCGGATCTATTTGAAGGTAATGGCAATCTTTATAGTTTTGAAAATTTCTTAAAAACAAAATCCTTTCCAGTCAAATTCAAAGAATTTGCTTGTGTTGTAAAGGCCATTCCTCAGAGTATGCTCGGGTAAATGAAGTGTCACTTAACTTATCAAAAGTTTGAGGTTCAGACACCTTCTCTCATGATTAGAGAGATTGATATACTCGATAGAAAATTTACCAATAAGCATGTTAGGAATGCACTTCATAGCTATAATAAGATCTCCCCCAGAGGAAAGTCCTTCTGGAATTCACAATTTGTCGATATTAATTGGCGTAAAACATGGTTGTGCCCCTTTCAATTCTGTATTTCAAATAAAATGAGAGAACTTCATTTCAAAATACTACACAACATGTATTCTTGTAACAACACAATTTCCAGGTTCACTGACGTGGATGATAAATGCACTTGTTGTGGGACTGAGTCAGAGACAATTGCACATTTATTCTGTATTTGCCCTGTGTCATCTGTGTTTTGGAGGGATTTTGAAAAATATATTTATGAAAAAACTGGACATATCATCACAGTCGGTCTGAAGGATATTATGACAAGATGTGTATGTAACGATAAGTCTTTGTCCTTTGTAATTAATCTTATGCTACTAATCGGCAAATTGTATTTACATAAAATAAGAATGTCCAAATCCCTGCCAAGTTTTCACGTATTTCTGGTAGATTTTGATTTGTACATACTTTAAAACTAACACAAATCAAGAAAAGTGACTATACGCTGCAATACCTTAATTGACCTCGAGTAAAAGGGAATTTACTGTGCCTTATACCCTTTACTTCTCTTTTAGTTTTGTTTTTATTTTCATTTTGCAATAATCCTGACAAGACTTGATGTTCCTAACATTATGTTAATGTAACTATGTGTTCTAGTATGTGCCAAAATGTCTGCATATGCCATATACATTGTTTGTATGCTTTGAAATTTCAAATAAAGATTAAAAAAACAAAACAAAACCTACAGTACATAAAGTCAGCCATCCAGCGTGTTTGCACCAGAGACTGCACAGAGGTGGTACAGCGCTCTTATTCGGATTTCAAAGAGAGCAGGAAACAGGTGGGTGCTTGTGTTATTTTACTGTTGATAGAATTTAACTTTAAGCTTTCTATTGTGAAGATCACCCGACATGTAATATTGTAACACTAGACTGTGTCTATCTTTTTATTCTTTTTTGAATTATTTAAAAAAAAAGATGTCAGAGTGATTTTTAGCTTTTTTAAAGCTGTAGTTGGTGACTTTGTATTGCTTATTTCTCACATCAAATGTTCTCAGAAACACATTTTAGTCGATCGTTTAGTTGTAAAATGAGAAAGGTTGCTCTGGCTGGTGGGTGGCTGTTTGAGCTAAACTGGGTCACTAACCCTCTCATTTTACAGCTAAACATTAAAATATGTTTCTAAAAACCACTGAGGTGAGAAATAGGCGATGCAGTGACATTTTTGATTCATATTTGATCAGTTTGATAAGTTCCACGGCAGTTCACGCGCAATAATTGACATGATTGACAGCTGCATGAAAGACTCCTCGGCTCTGACTGGTTGTTTTTCATAAGCTGTGGTAAATTCTAGCTAATGCCATTAAAAGCACACGAGGTGGGAGAAGGAATATGAGATTTTTCACAGATTATCTGTGTCATTTAAAGCTGTGTGAGTACGCTGACAGTTTCAGCAAATATGACATAAAAGTTATCTACTGTATTTTTAAGTCCCTTCAAGTGCACATATTCTGTGCTAATGCTGAACCTGTAAAATTTTAAGCAGCTCTCCTGCTGATACCTTGTGTGACAATTTGCAGAAAAGTGATGAGCAAGGTAACATTCATTATATTGTCTTATGCTCTTAACTGTGCTGCTGTTAATACAGCTTCTGGATTTAAATCATGTTTTCAATACTGATGCCGTGCAACATGAATTCTGGCAATTTGCTTCAATTGCTGAGTTAGAGATGTAATAAATTCATGCAGTGTGACCAGTCAAAGCTACATTTCTACATCTGTGTACTGCAGAGGGACAGTAAAGATTCAGTTGCACATAAACTTATGTCCTCACATGATCACAGACCTGCACATAATATAGTCAAATCATGGTGGAAAAGATAACATTTCTTTTTTAAACTAAATTTATTGGCGTCAATCTTCAATACTGCCTCTCATTCTTTAATTTAACATGTCAAGTGAACTACACTGCCGTAGCATTTAAGACCCACAACCATCAATGTCTAATAAAATTATTTTGTGTTTATTCTTTAATGTGATTCAAGTAATTTATCAAATAAAGTCCAGAACGGAAAGAAAGGAAGCTAAGAGAGGAGAAAGAAGCAAAGGGTCGACAGTATGTCACCCAGTATTTCAAAAAGCAAGGTGGATTTGTTTGTGGTTCATGTGGTGCAAAGTCATGGAATATTAACTTTGTCCGTAGTCTATAAGCTAGCTCACTTTTCTCTCCCCATGTTAGCTCATATTTCTGAAGAAAACTCTGGATTTTTGCATTTCACTGTTGTTTTAGTTAAATAATCAATACAGTCAAACGTTTAGCAAGCTGCTCATATTCAATCAGTTGACCTCCCCTCTGTCAAAATGATGCTTTGTTCCAAACAGGTATGGCATGTGTAACAGCAACAGCAGTAGGAGTAGCAGTAGCAGTAGCATACAAGATATTTTGCCATGGTAATGTCGAATTGTTTACAAAGAATGGAATAACATATTTTAAATAAAATTATTTTGTGTTTATTCTTTAATGTGATTTAAGTAATTTATCAAACAAAGTCCAGTGCAGATCGTCTGTGTTTTCACCTTGTGGGAAGGAGTTACACAACATCCAGTTGTAAATTCTGTCGTGGAGGACGGCAAAAAGTTCAAATATTTTTACTTAGAATGGCAACGATGTCTACTGTTACGTTGCCAGCAGTCTACCATCTGCCTGATTGCATGCGAATGCAGCAGAACAATCTTGTTTGAAATGACTCCATGTTATTGGCTTTGAAACTTGTAAGTGAAGTCCTTTGAGCTTTGTAGGTGTGCTGATGAAAACTAACCTGAAAAAAATAAATATTAACAGGTGATGCAGACATCATGAAGGTTGAAACGTCCGGTGCCTCAAAGCAGACAGCTAGGCAGGACAACCTGACTTGCGAAGGTAAACACAGAGAGGAGCTACATTTGATCTGGTGATCATGAAGCTTTCCTCTACATCTATCTATAGCTACAGTGTAACTACATCAATATACTGACAGGAAGACAGTTTGTTGCACTAAGGCCTGTTCTCTGTTTGATTTCTCTCTAAAGGTAGGAAGGCTTCACACACCATGGCAAAGACTGATAAAGACTGAAGACAAAGAATGGAAAAGTACAGGTCTAAAATCAACAGAGTGGGAAAAGACAAAGGGATTGAACCAGCTCTCATTGCCGCCATCATCTCCAGAGAGTCCAGGGCTGGAGCTACACTACGTGATGGCGGCTGGGGAGACTATGACCACAAGAGAAAAGCATACAACGCCTGGGGTCTGATGCAGGTTATAATAAATATTACTGTTCCACTCACACCCGCTTAGTCGGGCCTCACATAACAACTGTGTTCATCTCATTTCGTTTCCATTTCTATAGGTTGATGTTAATCCTGACGGAGGAAATCATGATCCACTTGGTGCATGGGACAGTGAGCGACACCTCCGCCAAGGCACCCAGATCTTGATTGATTTTATCGAACGGATCCGCGACAAATTTCCCAAATGGAACAGGGAGCAGCAGCTGAAAGGTTTGTTTTATTCAATCAGTAAACTCGTACATGCATCGACTCTCTTCCCACTTTTCTTCACTTCATTCTCATTTGTGTTTGTCTGTGCAGGAGGAATAGCCGCCTACAATATGGGGGATGGAAACGTCCATTCTTATACAACCAATCACACCTGTTAAGAGAATACATTACACCTAGCAACGGGGTCAACCACACCATCCCACTGAAGTTTCTGTCCCTTCCTTGCTCAGAGTTGCTCTGAGAACTTTCCTAAATCACTCCCCAGCTAGGACTCCTAACTAAAAGTTTTAGGCTTAGTTAGGAGCTCTCTTAGAGTTTTCTCAGAATGTTTGTGAATACGGCCTCAGATGTTAAAGAAGTTTTACTTGGAGCTGAATGATCTGCAGAGGTCTCCCTTTCTTCAAAATAAACAGACTACTGATTTAAACAGGTGAAAACGCTGAATAAAACAGTTTCACATAAGAATCAGATGGTGTTGGGCTCGTCGTAGAGGGGCTGCTGTGGCCAACATGAAAAGGCGAAAGGCTTGATCTAGAGCCAGTGTTTGGTTTGTCTGTTCTTGGATAGAAACATGGTGGTGCAACATAGCGGACTCCAGTGACAAGGACAAACTCCCAATGTAGCCTAGATATAAACAGCTCATTCTGAGGTAACACAAAGACAACCATTCCTATTTTCAGGTGATTATACACAAAAGAAAACACATTCATTTTATTATGTTCCATTTCTGCCAGTAAATCCCCTAAATCCTTCACACCGGACCTTCAAACAAATCACAGATAATAGTAACCTTTATGCATATAAATATAAAACACTATATCTAACACGAGAGAACACGTTGACTCGGCTGTGTTAGAGTCAGCGGTAGGTGCAGTGGTGCTCCTGGTGCTGCCGGAGGTCCACTTTGTGCTGGAAGCCGTAGAGGCAGCGTGGACAGTGGTAGGGCCGGTCGTCCCTGTGTTTACGGCTGTGGGTGATGAGGTTGGAGCTCTGGCTGAACGCCTTTCCACATATCTGACACACATGGGGCTTCTCACCTGGCACACAAACACAGCACAAGTCGTGTGAATACACAGGATGTTCGAACTGTGTCACTGCTCTGACATTTTGAGAGCTGTTCCACTTAGTCACCATACCCAACTTCTGAAAAGAGGAATAACACTTACAGTACTGAATACACCACCTTGTTTAATTCACTTACATGTCATACATACATTTGGAAATAGGTTGTTTTGTCCAACCAACATTTCAAAACCCAAAGATACTAAATTTGCAGCAGCATAAGGACATTTGAGGCTCAAACCAACGGATGTTTTGCCTAAAAAAATAAATAATAGATTAACATCTTTGTAAATACACATACCTGCATTCACTTTCTTTCAATGAGATGAAACGATTGATATCACTCTTGTATTTGTATGCTTACTATAAAGGTACAGCCAGCAGCTGCTTAGCTTAGCTTTGTATAAACACTGGAAACAGGGGGAAACAGCTTAGCTTTGTCCAAAGGTAACAAAATCCACCTGCTCTGCCAGCACCTCTGATGTTTACATATAATTATGTTACATGCCATTTGTTCAATCCATAACAAAGTGTAAAAAGCAAGTTGTGGTTTTAAAGGATATTATGTTACTGGCCTGTTTCTTAGCTGTGTTTTTAGACTTTGTTTTTTGTACAGACAAAATAAACTTTCAAGTATTGTAGGACACAGAATATAAGCATTCATGGCAGTGGTCTTCATAGGAACATTTTGGCAGTAAGTTATGCATTTTTAAACACCAAAATAAAATAAAATTAAAAAAAAGGAGAAACAAAAGGATTTCAGATATTCTTTTTATGTACTGCTGTTTGTGCATATGAACGGTGTTGTCTTAAATAGGTTTTGCACAGTTAAAAGTAAGGGGACTGTTTTGATACAGTATAAACACATGTAAACACTATAAACATTTGTTTGGGTTGTAGATCTTACTACATACCAGGGGTCGCGTTAACAGGATATTCTCGGTCATTGGCCGGTTTTTTACAGCAATGACCGGAAAATCTGAAGGCCGTCGGTCATTTTGACCGGTTGCAATTACCACCCCTGCCCACATGGCGGCGGAGTGCACAGTCAGTGGCAGCCGTTTTCACACTACAGGGAAAAAGTCATTCATCTGCTTCATGTAGTGTTGTTGAGCCCTGCCCTGCGTTCCAATACCCATACTACCATACTATTTAGTATGCCAGAAAAAGAATTAGTGTGTCCCAATACATAGTATGTCAGATGCAGTATGCCAAAAGTACCAGGATGTTCTACTACATCCGGTCACATTTCACAGTATGCATCATGTCAGCATGCTTCTTTGGCCATTCTGACCCACAATCCTTTGCGCAGCGGAATTTACGTCGCACTGACTGAGCTGTGTGTACAACCAACGCCCACATAGCACGGAAGACAACACGACACAGACAACTTTATTGTGATTATAGTATAATCAATGTTAGGGTTCAACTATGTCTACAATATAGAAGATTCTACCAGTATAGGCAGTGGTGTAAGTGTGGTATAAATAATGAATGAATATGACTAAATATGAATACACTATGGGCCAGGTATGAGCAGTATAGATAGTAAATTAGTAAAAGTCAAATACATATTAAGTAATGCAGTAAGAATGTACAAGTATGTTACACTACAAATAAAAGTAATGTGAATGTAAGGCTGCTTCACGTGCAGACAGAATATAGTGCCAGCAGCTGCATAGCTGTAAATATATTTAACAACAACCATCTGCCAGCAACAGAGAGCTATGTGTGAAGGGGGTCAATATGCCTACTGGTGACTAGTTCAATAGAAAGGTCACTAATAATAGGCTTGAGACTGTTTACGTGAACATGTCAGTTTCTTAGAAACAACAACATACATTACGACATAACAGCAACAGAGCTCTCCGGCACCTCCGACGGTATGCACGACTCTGGCGAGCTCGATGAGAGGAGATTTGCTGCATCTCCAAAGTACAACAACACAAAATATTCAAATGTGGCGCTACGGACGGCGGAAGTGAGCTAGAGGGTCGGAGTTCAGGGAGCGGATGTAGTGTGTCCCAATAGCATACTGCATACTACACTACATACTTTTTAAGGGCAGCTGCAGTACATACTGAAAGTATATAGTAGAAGTATGGAACGCAGGGCAGGACACAACGGACGCGTAGTGCCGCGGAAGTCCTGCGAGTGTACTCACAGGCGCTTCAAAGAGCATGGATACCGCACTTGGCCTTCCAAAATTTCCCGAAGGATCCCGACAGGTAGGAACTCCTGAGGTGTACGTTTTAAAGTGCTTTAATATCAATTTAATATGCCAGTTTTGTTTTGTTATATATATATATATATATATAGCCTCTTGGACCATTTATATCAGAACT